AAAAAAAACAGTGCAGATAGGACAATTTGAAACTAAATGCTAAAGCAAAGCGTGTTCACTAGAGTTACCTAGCTGACGCAGCTAAAAGCTGCCTTCAATTATGGATCCATTGAGATGAGGCCTGTTCCAATAAGTACCGTCAGTCCTACGCTGTACCTAATCTCGAGAGCCTTCTTGCCGCGGCTCCATTTAGAGGGGTCCCTCGCGACCTCCTGTGCAATATTCTCGGTAAGCTTTGCAGCCTGCTTCTCTTCAACGTATCAACGTTTTTGAGTTGGCCTTCCGCTTTCAGCTTGTTGAAATCTCCTTTCCACTTGCCCGAGGTTGTCGCCAGGGTTTTAGCTTCGCTCCGGATTCGAAGTTGACGATGGCATTCTCCCAGTTTTTCACAGAAGTTGATTCAAGTTTGGCGGTTTCTCGAAGCTTGACAATGGCACTTTCGGTAGTTTTAGCACCGGTTGCCCTTCTGAGCTTGCTCAAATTGGGTTGAGTTTTCCTACGGCACCTTGCACAACGTAGTCGAGCTGTGTAATTTTGGCTTCTTCCTTAGCGTAGGTGACATTGGAGAAGCTCACCGTAAGTGTGGCCGCCACCACTACGAGGAAAGAGCTTAAGCGCTTTGTGACAAATGCACTTCGGATATGAGGGTGCGGGTGCGCGTTGGACAATTGGGGAATGAAAGGCGCTCAATGGCTCGGATTGCTGCTCGAAGCACTGAAATGCTGTCAGCGGGATATCTCGAATGTAATATGTTTGGAGTAATAGAGGCAAATATCAGCATTACTGTAGTTTGTAGTATATGTGAGTGAATGTGACAATGGTATTACTGTCCAGCACAGGCTCTATTTTGCACGTCAACAAAACGTGTGGCGTCTCGGTATTTCTTGTAGTTATGACTCGATTGTGTACAGCCTCACCGTGATTCCGAATAATCGACGAGTGAATAAAGTCTGCATTCAGATAATGCGAAGGTGGAGAAAGTTTGAGTTTCTAGCCCTACTGTATATGTACCTAAAATTACTAAGAGTTTATTGATATCGCGAAGTGGCCGATCAGAACCAGAGATAGATAATACATAGATGTGCCCCCGCATGTCGTTCTAGTTGGGTCTGTAACCCACGAAACTTCGGTCAATAATCGTCGCTCTTTGCAATGCCGAATGTTAATTTGATGAAGCAAGGCATTGTGTCGGACATGTATCTTACTCTGCACGGGGAACCAGTACGAAGTACTTAGTTAACTCGTAGTAACACTATCTCTCCAGGTCTATGAATTTTAATATTGAAAACGTCGCAACACGGCATGAAGAATAAGTGATGATCGGATGCTGGCCATTCGTCCAATGTTCCTTTCCCCAGTACGAAGCAATTTCAGTCAAAAGAACTGAAGCCCTAGTCAAGGGCATGCTCGTAAAGATAAACCCTGACATTTGGCCAACGCAACGAACTCACGAACCCTCGTGGCAGATCCCCCCCCTCCCGCGCGCGAAGTATCGATTCAGCATACCGAGATAGCGAGGGGTGTAACGGGGTTACACGCAAGTGGCTACATGTAGGG